TACTTTTAGCTTAGGGTATGTCTACCCTCTCTCTCCTCTGCCCAGCATGTTTTGCTGTACAGGTAGTCCTTGACTTACAACAGTTTGTTTAGTGATTGTTCAAAGTTACAATGGCACTGAACAATGTGACTTATGACCGTTTTTCAGTTATGACCTTTGCAGCATCCCCAAGGTCACGTGATCAAAATTCAGATGCTTGGCAACTGACTCGCATATATGACCCTTGCCGTGTCCCAGAGTCATGTGATCACCCTTTACAACCTTCTGACAAGCAAAATCAATGGGGAAGCCAGATTCACTTAACAACTGGTTACTAATTTATCAATTGCAGTGATTCACTTAACAAGAAAGGTCATAAAATGGGGCAAAACTCACTTCACTATCTCACTTAACAACAGAAATTTTGGGCTCAATTGTGGTCATAAGCCGAGGACTATCTGTACTTGTGGAGGTGGGGGGAGATTTCCTGAGAGGTATGAGTGAAAAATGCTGGGAATACATGCCAAGAAAATATATTCCTAGCAGCGTCAATCAAGGTGTGAAGGTCATGCCCCTGTCCAGCTAAAGAAGCAGGCACTTACCTACCGGTATACTGGGCAGCAGAAACACAAGAAGATGTTGGAGGCAGACAATCACTTTAGTGACAATGGCAAAGGCACCTATTCATACTGTATTGCATAAGGCAATGGTAAACATGTACTGACAACTAAGAATTTTTGAAAGTGCTAATAATATTATGACATAGCTAGATTAAAGTCTTCGGGATATCTAGTTGCCGATGTTGTTCATGCAGGAAAAAAACACCCAAAGCTGCAAAGACAAAATTAGTGGAAACAAAGAATGTAGAAAGAATGAACATGGGAAAGCTCAGCTAAAAAAAAAGATTACAAATTGGCATCTTAGTTATCAGTGAATTGAGATGGACTTATGATCAAGTTCAATTTGGAACTGATGGGAAATGGAAGACTCTGAACGGAAGACTGGAATTTGGAAATATTAAGGAAGCAAATGAGATTGATTGTACGGCTTAGGAAACCAACATGAAGTAGGTGACGCTCCCATTATTTCTTCATAGCTAATGCTGTCTTCAAACAACCAATGCCTCTAAACATGGCTATAGAAATCAAATTGATATTATTGCTAAGGGGAAGTGGAAGAACTAGTTACAGCATCAGAGACATGGCCAGGTGTTGACTGAGGAAAGCTTTTGAGGTCTTTCTCAGGTCTCACAAGAATAGGCACGCTATTTGAAGCATTATTTGGAGAACGGTGAAGGTCAGTGTGTGCGCACTATTTGGAGAATAAAGGGTGCATACAAAGTTGGCTTGTTTGATTAAAGTTAAAATATATACGTTATTTCTGGTAACGCTTAATGGATTTTTTCTGATTAAGACTGATGCTTTAAAATTTATTTATAGATAAGAGATGAGATATGGGAAGAAAAGATTTTTGTTGTAATCAGAGAAAGGAATAATTTACTAAATTTGTATTTGTCATGATGAAGGGGGGAAGTAATTTCTTTATATTTTTTCTTTTTTTAAAAAAAATTCTCTATTTTTTCTTTTTCTTGTCATATTTCCCTAGTTTGTATTAGATTTTTTTATCCTTGTCTCTGTAATATTTAATAAAAACTCTTTAGAAAATTGACCTCTCCTTCCCTTGCTTGATGAAGAATTCTCGTTTGAAATTCTTAAGTTTGCAAACTAAACAATAAGTTTTCCCCTCAATGTCACATGGAACAATTCATTCCTCTGATGTTATTTTTAAGTATGTTTGATAAATACTCCAAGTGTCTAAGTTTTAATATTTAAGTAAATTTGAAATCTTTGAGACTTATGCTAAATATTTAGGCTACTTTTCATTTTGGGGGAATAAATTAAAACCTAGTATACTGCATTTATATTTCCATTTTAAGGATCAAAGATGTTTGTGACTAATATTGAGAAACTGATTTACCCATTGATCTTGCAAGTAGACAAGACAGTAAACTGAGGCTAGATCTGTATTGCTGGGTTGCAGAGGTTAACCAGCTGATGTTTCCCGTTCCCTTTTCTGTTTTGAAGATAAAAAGTTAGGTAGTGATAAACCTCAGATTGAGTCTTCCTAATCTATATTTAAAGTAAAATTTTACAGACTGTAATTACGATACTGTGCCAATCAGTCCCAAAGTCCAGATTAAATGACACTAGGTCTAAAAACAAACTGGCTTAATACATTGTGCAAATACATTTATCACTCCCTAAAAAGGTGAGTCACAACATTTTTTTATAGTCAATTTTTTGTCTCTAATTCTTAAAGTTGTTTCATAGAATGATTAACTAATCCCATTAATACTGGAATTGGAATGGAGTGATAGAAGCAAAGATGAAAAACAAGAGTAGGGATATATCAACAACTGGGCAGAAGATGGGTAAAACATTGACATATCCTAGAGAACAGTAACTTAATAAGTATTGAATTTTGAATGTCAGTTGAGGAGAAAATATCCCTGTGAAACGTTATAGCCAGAATTTTCACTTGGGGACTGCAGTACTGTATTGCCATTTCTAATAATTCCCTACCTGTATGTTTTGCAGCTCATCTAGGCATTTAAAACTTTTATTCCTTACTTTGCAGACTAATCTTTTTATATTTGTAAGATAAAATTATATACAGAGAAGTTTAACTTCAAGCCTAGGTATAGATGAGAGTGTATTCTATTTTTTTAAAAAACAACAACAACAATTTCTATTATTTTAAATAATGGCTTAAGTGAATAAAACTACTTGTATCTTTGATCTTTTCTTGCAGGTAATGAAGAGTTTGAATCTGACTTGGAGTATGAAGATGAATGGGATGACTAAAATAGTGCTACCTGCCAGAAGAAGCACTACTTGATCTTTCTATGTTGTATTTATAACTTGACCTTTTAACATGCTAATAAATATTTTCTGATTTTTTTCCATATTGTAATTGAGTTACTTCAAATATTAATTTAAAATGCCAGAGAGTACAAGGAATCTTTTAATATTTTTTTCACTTGTATTTTTACAGGACTTAAAATAGGCTCATATAGGCTCATATACATAAATTTATTATTATGCTCAATTGTAAATCTATATCACTCAAAGAAATACTGAAAGAACTTCTGCAGAAGTATTGAAAAAAATCGCAAAACAAGATAAATTGTTTAATAGACAGAACAGACAAGGAATCACAAAAGGGGTGAGTTCTGAAGTTAAACACTACTGTTTTAAATAATTTTTGTTGTGGGTAAGTCCCCACAATCCCATTTTGAGCTGGATCCAGATTTAGAGAAATTTGTGTAAAATGGAATTGAGTTTTTTGAATTGTGCTTTTACAATATTTCAACTCACTCAATTATTCAATAATTGCTTTCATTCCTATGTTTAGATATTACCTTTTTGATTCTTGCATTTCTGATATAAGCCTAACCTTGTTCCTATTTTTCATCTCTCTAGGAAAGAGGATAAGGTAGAACTTTGCAAGAGGGCAAAGGAGCTTCTAAGTCCACGCTGCTCTTTTACTCAAGGTGTTCAGTGATTTTGGGTGGGGATTATAAGAGACTGACCCTGTTTGGGTTGAGATCTCAGAACATATTCTAGAAGATACCAGACTGGGAAAAAGAGAAAATAAACTTAAACTAAATTCTTAAACTTAGAAGAATTTGAGTTAGTTTCGGAATGAGAAAAGATCAGCCCAGCAATAGCTGCTGGAAATGCAGTACAGCAAAGTATGAAATATACTGCCATTAATGATAATGTCCATGTGTCCCTTATCTCCATTGCACCTGCCTAGGACTGTGTCAGCTTTTCCTGCAAGTTCTGCTGGCTTTCCAAATCTTCTGCCCCACCCTCATTGTCCTAATAGGTAGGGCCTGGTTGGATCAGTCAGGTTTTGGAAGAACATGTCAGTCACTGTAGCAAAAAGTGGGAGCTTTAATGGGGCATGCATTTGGCGAAGAATACTATTTCACTATTTCTGCCATTGTACCTAGACTTTAATTTAGAATTGTAGAATACATTAAGATGACTTTTTCGCTTGTCAGACTTGTTAATACATTTGTTTCAATGCTATACATATTTATATTGATAGGGAAAGAACGATCCAGTATTGGATCAAAGACAAAAAAAAGATAAAGTGTACAAATTGTAATAATAGAATAATTAGAAGCTTTCAGTTTTGGCACTGATTTTGGAATGTGCTCTGCAGGAACATCCATAATTGTTTTGAGCATATTTGGAAAAATACTGGTGGAAGAGGTTTGGCCAGACATAAAACATGCAGGTGCCAGAAGACAAATTGATGAGGTTGAAAATAACCTGTCAAGCCAAATGTGGAAGCTGAAGCCCAAATAATAAATCGTGTATTTGACTCCCACAAATGCTACAAAATGTTTATTTTGTAAAAGGCAAACCGGAGAAGCTCAAAAATGCATAAACAGACAAATGTATACTTTTATTCTCTGCTTTGCCTCTGAAGTTACGGTACTCTCACTTCCATTCCTGTAATATTCTCTTTCATCCCTCAAGTAACCATGGCCTTTTATTCAGAGTAAGTGGGCACATTTCAAAACAAAGAGTTCCAGTCATTTTTATTTTCTAAGAATACATGCATGCCATTAATAGATATGAAAAACAGCACCATTATAGCATGCAGGATTATATGAAATTCACAAGAAGTTCTAACACATCTAGAACATGTACTTTTTTTTATCACATTCACAGACCGTGCTTGCATTTTGAAAATAACAGATATTCCACTGTCCTCTGGAATGAGTTTTCCCCTTGAGATCTGGGTGCCTCCTATCACGTCATTCCAGAGGGTCTTAAAGACCTGGCTTTAGGATAAGATGGTAGGGGTCTCTCTCTCTCTCTCTCTCTCTCTCTCTCTCTCTCTCTCTCTCTCTCTCTCTCTCTCTCTCTCATACACACACACACACACACACAGAAACAGAGAAACACAGAGAAAAACAAACACACACACACACACACACAGTGGTCTGAAAATTGAGAGACACTGAATTCTAGTCCCATCCTAGGCACAAAGAAACCAGGCTGATTTGTGGCCAGTCACACACTCTCAGCTCTAGAAAAAAGGCAAGAATAAACCTGAAAATCTTGCCAAGAAAACTGAAATGTTATTGCCAGGCATCTAGATTCATTTGTGTGTATGTGCGCACATACACACGTGCACAAACAGACTATATGCAAATGGAAACATATGTCCTCCATCAGTCATCAACAGGTTACAGAAATCTGATCTAAATGGCTTTTTTTGTCATGAACACTAAAACATGATCTGCTAGCAGTCTTAAGAGTTGGATTGTCTCATTCTGATTTATCGTTACATTTTGGGTTACATTTTGATTATCTTCTCAACATATAAAAATCATGTTTACAATGAAAATCTTATTCAGTTTAAAATAATTCATTAAGTATTACTATAAGAAACCCTTAAAGATATATATCATTCTTGGAAAAGTGTTGATTTTAACAACATGCATTTCCCCCGTTAGCTCAAAAGGATTTTTTAAGCACTTAAAAACGGATGGCTCTATTCCACATTTCATCTAGTTGGACCACCACCAAAGAACAACCTGTTCTTGTACTACTTTGCTAATGATTAGGTAAAAACCCATTTTTCTAGTTTGTCTTGATTGCTACTTTGTAAACTATTGCAGTGAGACCTCTCTGATTCAGTGGGCAAAGATGGGCTCCCTACAGTAGTGGAAATCTTATGGTTTCTTATAATAGTAAAGAGTTTTATATACCCACACCTCTGGTTCCCCACTCCTGCAGGGATGTGTCCCCTTTAAGAACGGTGGTCCTGACAAGTGTGTTGTTGTTTTCGTTATAGCTAGATGTTTTCTTTTAGAAGCATGAAAAAATCTCCTTATACCAGATCAGATTATTGGTCCATTACCTCAGTATTGTTCACACTGATTGGAGACTGCAGAATTCAGATAAGGTTTTTCCACCCCCAGTTTGTTCAAGCATCACTTTGCGATCGAGGTCTTCCTGCATGCAAGGCAGGTTCTTTATCATCGAACTACATGCATTTCCAGTTTGGAACATTCTGATCTAATCTTTGCAGATATATAATAAACCGACACAAGTCTCTGCCGGGCCAAAGCGGGCTGTGTGCGTGCGCACATGCGCATCCCTCTCACAAGGATTGAAATTGACCTCCACATGCTTATTCCGCTATTGGGTTGTAACTTCTAAGCTTCTTCATGTAGAAAAAAAAGCCCCATTCGATTGCTTTGACTGAAAGGAATGCGGAAACCCTGGAAATGGCCCTTTTAAAGTATTGAACAACACCGACACGCCGGAGACAGACGGAAACATATTTTGTGTGTAGCAAGGTGAGGGAGGCGGGATTCACGTATGAATATGCCGGTGGCTGACCACCGAGGAAGGCACAAGAGGAATTAACCCAGAACGTCGGCGACTCCCTCTTCCTCTTAGCGACATCCGAGTCGTTTTGGGACGGAAAAAGCCAGCGAGGATGGCAGCACTTCTCTCCGCCTGTTTCTCCGCCCCCTTGGCCGCTTCTCGCCAACCCGCTTGCACCAGCGGCTGGAGTGGGCACGCCCCCCTTCTCCGCGGCGAGGAGCGGGAGACCCTCTTGTGGGGCTTTGCGCCCTCGGCAGGAGGCTCCTGCAGCCACCGCGGATGAGCCTTCCCCTTTAGAGGTCAGCGTAGCCACCGGGCTTTCCTTCGCCCGCAGGCTTCTATGGGCTTGGGCTAGTCGCCTTTCACCCTGTCCTCCTTCCTCTTCACGCCCGGTTGGCAACCGAGGCTGCGGCGTAGCGCCCAGGGGCGGCTGGCAACGGCTCAGCCGCGGCACGGATGTCGGTCTCCAGGTGCTGCAGAGGCGGAGGAGACCGCGGTAAACCTGAGCGCCTTTTGCGGGGCCGGGCTTGGAAAGGTAAGGCGCCGGACGTGCGAGCCCGGGATCTGCTCGGGACGCGGATGACCTGGCTGTGAACGCGTAAAGTACAAGCGCCCCGGGGAGGGGGCAGGCAAGGCTCACGTACTTGCAGCCGCCGCCGGGAAAGAGCGGCTGATTCCCGCCTCCTTCAGGCTGCGGCGGAGAGTGCCGCTGGTCGTTGCTATTTTTGACTCGCTTGCTTGCTTGTTCTCCAGCTAAACAGGGTGATTTACAGCCGGCGCTTACTGCTTTTTCTTGCTCGGCCTCGCCCAAAGGAAGCCAGGAGAAGGGTGGGGGCTATTTTCCCTGTTGTTCTGCTTGGCTTTCCCGCGCCCGGACTCCGCGCAGCAACCGCGTTAACGTTGCTCCCCTGCTCCCTTTCCATGTGGCCAGCTTTGGCTCTTCCTCCTCCCGGTGATCACCGCTCTCCTGACTCTAATGCTTGTAGCAAATAGATCGGCTGCTACCGCCAAAATCCTTCGTTCGGGAGCTCCAAGGCGAGGCTGTAGGCTTGAGGAGCTTCCGGCCCTCTTCCCCTACCCCTTTGCTGCTTTTATTTACGTTGGCCTCTTCCTGTGTTCTATTTGCTACACATCTCTGTCCAAGAAAGTGCTGGGTGGTTTCTTAAGAATCTCCCCTGACCTCTCAAATACACTATTATTCAAGAAGTGGTGAATTTTATAATTAACATAATTTTATAATTAAATCTGACAGTGAGATGTATTGAGAGGCAGGGTACTGTTTTTCTTCTTCCCAGCTTTGTAAGGGCAGGTTGCAGATATTCATTAATAACAGAGTGGCACTCTGCATATGGTTTACGAGCCCTTTTGTGTATCATCATGCACTGAATACTTTTATTCCCCCACCTATTTATTCTCCCAATGTAGGTTTAAAGATTCAGGTTTTTTCACAGAGAAGGGCACCCAGGTTGGAAAGAGATGGGGCCTTTGTCAAAGAAAAGGGTTAACTCTTGCCTACTACTTTTTTAGAATTACAGGGACTGAGTGCTTGCTTATGTGAGCTTTTAACATTAAGGGGCTTGCCTCAATCCTCTCTAATACTGTTTTGAGACATCATGATGTTTGCTGTAGTGGGGGCTCTACGTTAGGAAAGAATGAGGATTTCTGTATCACAAAGAAGTGAGACCAATTATGACTATAGAGCAGTGTTTTTCAAGCTTGGCAATTTGAAGATGGGCTGAGGATTCTGGCTGAGGGTTTCTGGGAGTTGAAGTCCACCCATCTTAAAATTGCCAAGCTTGAGAAACACTACTACAGAAAGAGATAGTGGCCAGTTCTATCCAGGAAATAAATACCATTGAAGATTGTGAAATTTTGCCTCTGGGGAAAAAATTGTTTTGTTTTTCAGGTTGATCTTTTACCAATCCAACAATACAATTTGTAAAAGCAAGATTTTTTTGTGCTAGTTGCTATGAGACCGTCAACTATAGATAAGTCCATGCATGTTGTATTTTCATGGCAGTAATAGGTTATCCTGAATTGCATGTTACAACTGCATTGTTCACAGATGGGTCAACTGTGGGGGTTAGTTTATGCCATGTTTATACATAAAATATAAAGAAAATAGAAGCACCAGGCAAAGACACTATTATAGTAAAATCAGTATACTTTTTTATCACTTGTACCTGTATTAATATGCCTCTGCTTGGCATTACAGTCCTTTCATATAAATAAACACTCTATTCTCCATGTCAATTGTTTTGTTTTAAGCTAGAAAACAATTATTAGTTGTGATTTATAGGAGTATACACAGTTCGTAGCAGTATAGGAATATTTATTTTCATATGAACACAGTTGTCATGTTTTGTAAATTATGTACTATATACCCATAGATAGCTTATTCAAATTCAAGGATACTGGTTGAAAATAAAGAGTAAGACTCACGTAGCACTTGCTTCCATAAGTTACAACAGTAGCTGCTAATTAAGCTTCAAAGGTATAATTGCACAATGTTGTGGAGATAAGGTTATTAATAACTAGATGGCTGTGTATTGGAGATAATATTGGAGCTGGTATATCGCTAAATATTAGTTACTGGTGAGATTGAGTAAGAAGATGGTATATCCACCTATCCTAGTTGCATGTGGAGGCACATCACTGATACTTTTACATTTTATATAAATGGTCTGATGGGATTAAATAATGCAATCATTTTAAAAGTTTATAATTAAATTCTGGAAATATTTTGGAGATCAATTGATCTTTCTATGAAGTGGGATAAATAAGGGGCCCTCAATACAGTAAATAAAATAAAAAATAAAATAGATAAAATTATTTGGAATGAAACCTAAGGGAGTGCTGGAAATAATTTTTTAGAAATTTATATAGGAATAATAGTGATGTATTGAAAAATGGAATTTAAATAAATGTGTTACATTTTATTGTCTGAGACAGAATGAAAAAACAATTACGAAGGCAGGAATTGTGCAGGCTAAGTTCTTTAATAACTCATTTAATAATGTATCTGTCAAAAAATAAATACACAGATTTCTTGATTTAAAGATGGCAAAGGATAAAGTAAATAGATTTTAATTACATAATTTGTTTTATTATAAATTATTATAAATATAATAACATTAAAACATACTTTAATAATTTGACTGTTAAGTGGCTCACAAGTAAAACTATTATTTTATTAGAATCCAAAAAATGTAAATCCTAATGCAACCACAAACCATTAAGTTGTACTATTACATTCCTAATAGTAGCAATTCATAGTACTAGTGACCTTATTCATCCTGATTTTATTTAGCTTTAAATTCATCTCAATCTAATTTATTTTTTACAGATCCCACAGTTCCCCCAATGCTATTTCAAAAAAAGGAAAACAAAGTTGTGAATATTATATCTGGTGGTAAAATATTCCACAGAAGAGACTTGCTGCAGAGAATGCATACCTCTGAGTTCATCTCCTCAGTATACATCTTGTGAGAATGCTCTGAGTAGTCTGGGCTATCTGATAGACAGCCAGGATCTAGCCATATAGGACTTTCCAAAGGTTACACAGGTAATCCTCAAATGACAATCCTTTTTTAGTGATTGTTCGAAGTTACGACAGCACTGAAAAAAGTGGCTTATGATCAGTTTTCACACTTATGACTGTTGCAGCATTCCCATGGTCACGTGATCAAAATTTGGACACTTGGCAACTGGCTTGTTTTTATGACTATTTCACTGTCCTGGAGTCATGTGATCACAATTTGTAACCTTCACAGCTGGCTGGGGAAATCAGATTCATTTAATAATTGCAATGTTTCCCTTAACAACTATGGCAAAAATGGTTGGAAAATGAGATGCAACTTACTTAACTGCCTCACTTAGCAACTGAAATTTTGGGCATAAGTCGAGGACTACCTTTAACCAGCCCTCTGAACTGTACCCAGAAACATAATGGCACCCAGTGCAGTTCCCCCAGAACTGGTTTGTAGGTAAAGGAGGGAGGGAGAAGATGGATGGTTTTAAATTTGGATGGACGGACAGACAGATAGACAGACAACCTATTCTGGCCAGCATGCAGCTCCCAAGATGTAATTGAGATTAAAACATGGCGTGATGAAACAGCTATGTTTTTACTAATTTTCTAAAGGCCAGGAAGAAGAGGATATTTTAATATGGTGTGTGTGTGTGTGTGTGTGTATGTGTGTGTGTGTGTAACAATATGTGGGAATGACTTTGGGAGGCAGGGAAAAGCCACAGCCAGGGCAACAGGTGGATAAGAGGCACTCCCCCCCCCAAGAAGGAATGTGAGCGTGGCAAAAAACTCTGAATGGCAATCCCTACTTTCTTGGGCTATAAAGGCGGTGGGGGACAAATGTTCTTTCAGGCTTGCAAGATTTATTCATGTACTCTTACAATAAATAGATATTCTTCTGGGTGTGCTACTTGTCTGGACTATCTGGTGACCCAAGGCTGACAGAGGGGACACTATTTTTTAATTTCAGTTTTGACTGATAAATCATGCTTCTGTGCATGTGAAGATGGCAGTTGTTGATCAAGGGGATACCTAAATAGCCTGATATACTAGATCAGTGGTTCTCAACCTGTGGGTCGGGACCCCATTTGGGGTCGAACGACCATTTCACGAGGGTCGCCAAACAAGGCTGTCCGCCATTTTTTCCCCCTTTTCTTTGGCCACGCCCCTGGCACCCGGTGATGTATAAGTGGTTGGGGGTCACCACAACATGGGGAACTGTATTATGGGGTCGCGGCATTAGAAAGGTTGAGAACCACTGTACTAGATCTTATTGGGTAGGTAGATAATGCTGGAAAAAAGATGGTCCCACAGATACCCAAGCATAAGGGACTTTAAATACAGCAACCAGACCCTGAATGATACTTTGAAGCCAATTAGTAGCCGTTGAAGTTTTCAGACTAGAAAGAGTATGTGGGTACTTAAAGGTGCTCTCATAATTACTTGGAACTGTTGCAATCTGGATCAGCTGTAGTTCTAAATACTCTTCAAGGGCAGACCCATGTAAAATGCATCACAGTCAGTGAATCAACAGGTGAGACTTCCTGCTCTAGAAGAGGAAATTATACCCTAGCCAAAATTAAATAAAGACCCTCCCCCCCATAGCTTCAGAATTTACCTATTAGTTCAGGGCAAGTGGAGTGTCAGAAGAATTCTTAACTTAAACATATTAAAATTGAAGGTTGGTTATTGATTGTAATAAGAGTAGTTTGTGTGAAAATAAATGGAATGCTTAAAGAATGGTTGAACATTAATGATGAAATAAGTAAAGGATATGTGAGGTCACCTTGGGTGTTTATAGATAAATGTATAAGAAATATCTATGGTAATGTTAAAGGTATGCTAGTTAGGATGTGAAGATGTATATTTTTCTATATAGATGAGGCTGTGTTATTGACAGAGAACCCAAATGAGTCATAGAAAATGTTAAGACTATGTGATGCAGCAAGGAATGTGGTTCTGAAAATGAATGTATCAAAGACTTAGATAATTGAGCTGGACTGAGA